TCCACCACGTTTGGGCTCGTCAACCGCTCCTTTCTGCGCATCGCACACCCTTCATACCCCGCCCCCACCTCGTCTCAATCATCGACAGTCCCCCTAACGCCACCAGCAACCTTATATAGCGATCAAGAGTGCGTTTCTTCATTCTCTCCCTCTTATCGGTCTCATCTACCTCCCTTTAGCTCCGTCTCCACTCTACGGCTCGGCGCCACCAATATCCCCCCTCTTCTACAGCCAACTTCACCCGTACACCCGCCACCTCTTCCACCTCCCCAACACCATTCCCTATGCCTCGGCGACGAGCGCAAATGCCGACGAATGTGCATCGGGTTCCGCTTTTTTCTTCGTACCCGCGCTAACGCAATGGCACCACCACCTCAGCACCCACCGACTCGCTGTTCCGCCGCCGCCAGCGGTCGCGAACCCGACGCTGACGCGTTGTTAACTACTCATTCTCAACGCCGACTGCTTGATCCCAACAACTCTCCCGACTTCGATGACTGCCGGCTCATCGTTTCAACTTCGACAACTACACGATGCCCGCCTCACTTCCTACCACCATCCCATCCACGCCGCCGACGAACGTGCGTCGCTCTGCCCTCCCTATTGGTGAGCGCACTGACGAGATCCTTTGAGCGCAAATCTTTCGCTTCCACCGATGTCAGCATTCTGATCTCGATTCACAATCAGCCCTGTTCCGTGCCTTCGTTTTATTGATTCTGGACGCTTTTCGGGGTTGGCTTGGTGAGTGACTGATTATCCCGAGTTGTGATCGTCCTCTGAGACGCACTGCGATAGAATCACGGGGAGAATTCTGACGACGTTCAATGGTGAGTGTTTCATCCAATTATTTTCGCAGTCATGTCAGTGGCGGCATCGCTGTTGGCCACCATGTTTTCACCTGCGCTGGATTCAGGCGGGGCTGCGGACCGGTGTAGATCAGCAGTCGGTGCCTGCGCCGCCGATACGGTTCAACCTTCCGTCAGGAAAGTTCAGTGTGTGTGGTTAGTTGCGACGGCTCGGAGGCATGTTACATCAACTACGTCCGTCTCTTGTTTTAACTTTTCTTGCCATGAATTTACTGATATATTTGTAGTTCAGTATCCCGCCTAGCGGTATGGGAAATCGTGGACATTCTGCTGGGCGGTTTTGATAACGAGCAGATCGGTCATTGCTGCTCATTGAGAGGTGGGAGGCCTCTAGGTGCAGCAGACCAAGTACTTGTAAGTTGTTATACAGTGACGTCGTGATAGCTACTGAGCTAGCTCTGTCAGTAAGTAGTTACAGTGAACAAATTAAAGTTATAACACAATGATTGAACGATGAATCCCGACAAAAGCGATGCAGCTGGAGCAGGAGGGCGCAGTTCTTACAGGTACGAGCGGGTGAAACACGAGAGTGTGAGAAATCCTTAAGTAATCCATGATCTGGACGAGATTTGGCCATCACTAATTCGGTTTGGAGACCTGGATACCTACCGGTACCAGGAATTTTTCTACTATGCAAATGCGAGCTCCCTCTTCCTGCGGATTGAAGGCCTTGCTTCCAAAGCTCCACTAGTCTTCAAAATCATGCCCGACGTGGTTATAAATGTCCACTTCCAATTGCAAGCGCCCTAACACACGCCAACACCCGTTGTCATTCCTGACGACTCCAAATCCTCGCTGGCCTACTTTCGAGTCTTTATAACTCCCTCTCCGCGTCGCCTTCGCAAGAATTGTATTGCTTGTAAACTTCCTCATTACAAGGGCGCCGATTCATCGTCGAAAGCTGTGGTAGGCGAACTCGAGCTACGTCCCACGAACCCCACCGATTGAATGGCGGCAGCTTCAAGCTCTTGCGAAGATAGTCGCAACGCAGCTGAGTGATAGAGGTTTGGGATTGCAGGCTTAGGAAGCATTTCTCCTCGCATTCAATTCTGTGCTATCTAACGTGACGAACTTTCCAATCTATTCTTCGATTAAATCAATAGCACAAGGTCTCAGGGTTCAATGGAAGTGATCTCTGCTCAATCGTCCGAAAACTCGACCGCAGGTTAGACCTTCTTTATCAATTCTCGCCGAATCTTTGTTTACTAATCTTACTGGCAGTCAACGTCGCAAGCGTAGTGGATGGAGTCCTCAAAGGAAGATACTCCGCGCGCTACTACCTGCCAACCCCAATCGACAAAGCCACCATCGAAGCCATTGTCGACGCTGCTAGCAACGCGCCCTCTGGCAATAACATGCAGTGTGTTCTCTTTTCGCCTCCAATATCAATTCTTCGCCGAGAAACCTACCCATATTCAGACCATGGAAAGTCTACGCCATCTCCGGCCTTATCAAAGCCACCATCTCCAACGAAATGGTCAAGGCACACAATAACCACGAACCCTACGAAGCGCGCTACGCGTACTACCCGCCCATCTTACCCTCCGAATACCAAGTCCGGAAATTCAACTTCGGCAAATTTTGGTACGGCCACTTGGGCATTGATCACGACGACTTTGCTGCGAGGGAGGCGTCGAATACGCGGAACTAGTGAGTCGTTCCAATCACCTAACATCTTTTGGGTTGAATTGATCAACGTTGAATAGCGAATTTTTCGATGCCCCGGTTGCGTTGATATTCACAATGCACAGTGAAATGCGTCAAGGGTCCTGGATGGACCTTGGGTGCGCGGTTTTATTTCACCTCGGCGGAGCTAACCAATACTGAATTGACTAGACATTTCATGCAGAGCATCACCATCGCTGCCCGCGCGCGCGGTCTGGAATCCGTCACCCAGGTGCGTTCAGTCGAGTGCAACTATCGTGTTTACGATGTTGATCTTCGCTCACGAATTCACAGCTAAGCGTCCCAAAATTCGACGAAATCATAAGGAAACATCTTCCCATACCCGAAGAGTACCTCGTCGCCGCGAGCATTTCTTTAGGTCATCCAGATCTCGAGAAAGTCGCGAAGTATTATAAACGCCCGGTTAAGATGGAGCTTCGGGATGTGCTTGAAGTTTATGGGATGTAGACTTGGGGGTATCGATACTGGATCGAATAGATAGATGATCAAGTTCATTTGTTGACGAATCATATGTAGGATTTCTGTTTTCACTTCGTAAGATGTTGTATTTCGTCCAAGTCGTCTGTCCAAATGCTGAACCATGAGAGGGTTCGACTTCTCAGCACTCGGTACTGAGTGATTTTGTTCTGGAATGCATGGTTCTATGGTGGACTACCATAGAATAATTGATCAGATCACCGTGTAAAGAACTTGTATGAATATATTAGAGGAAGTCACTGGAGTTCAGGATTCTACATCGACATCGAGCCATCCCAGCGGTGGCCAGAGGACATTGACACGAGTAGCCCTGGTACGAATGCAGCGGCGTTGAGCCGGGGACCGACATTATCTGCAACAAGGACGGTTCTGGTCTGCTCGGAATGTATTCCATTGCCAGCCCGGATACGGCGGTGAGGTCTCATGTATATGAGCGAATAAGACGTCGTATACTGACCTAGCTCAGAGTACTTTCCCAAATCATACCCTTTCATACCGTGGCATGCCTTTTTCGAATGTCAAGCTGGAACCCTCTGGCAGCATGGGACACGCGGGTCAGACCTAAGGCGATGGCGCAATCCTACGCGGTTCGCAGCTGAACACGCAGAGCTTGAAGGATCAGTAGTTGCCGGGACGCCGCAATTCGCATTAGAGCTAGATGCGGGTCGGGGTGAGATGAGATTGATATTCGGCAGTTTGGGGACATGTTTGTGAGGATACGGACAGGGAGAGAGAGAGAGAGCAAGGGGCTGGTGCAGGTGTATGCATGAGTTGTATGAATAGTGATGATCGATCTTGATGCCATGAATTCTGCCTTGCTCGCAGTCGTGGGCCGGAGAGTAAGAGCGCATCGACAACGCTCAGCGGGACGGGGAAACAAAGGACGTACATGGTCCAGAGCGTCGCTGGCTTAGGGCTGGGACCATCGCACATATTGAAGGCTGGTCGCACAAAGAAAATTACAAATTGCTCTCCTTTCTATTAACAGCGTTTACAAGAGCATCAGAGCGACAGTACCGACGCCAGTGCCAATAAGAACAGCGTAGCCCGTCTGGTACACGCCCTTGATGGTCATGACTGCGAAGTAGGGCACGGTATGAGCGTCGTTCGGGACTAGATGTAAAGAGGACGCACATTTCGTCATATCCCACGACAAGTGACGAATCCCATTCAAACCGTGGAACGCGAAGGGCGCAGCGAGGAGGGCTTTGCCGGTGTATTTGACGGCGTCAGGGAGACCCGCTACGGCTTCAACAACGTGCACGCTATCGAAGGTGCCTGGGGCGAAGAGGTAGGCGAGGGAGAAGCCGTACAGCACTATAGAGAGATTTGAGTACAACAGAATGGAAACAGATGGAATGAGACGCACGAGCGCTGAGAGCGCCACCGGTGACGCGATTGGCGATGGACGCAATCCAGGTGAGCTGAGGCTGGTAGATGGTAAAGTGCGGGCTCGAAGGTCGCAGGAGACGCTGCTTGTTGAGGATATCGACCGACGCCGAGGGAGGTAAGGATTCCGTTTGGACAGTGCTTCACGTTTCACAATTCATTGAGCTTCGGAGATTCCGGTTTTGTCCAGGTTTTTCTTACCGTTTTAACAGAGTGGTGCGTAGAAGGGACTGGTTACGAGCTGGAGACGGGGTAAGCGGGAGTAGACGACTTGAAGGTCTGATTCCGACCGAGATTTGTAGAAAGAATCGCCTTGCGTAGAGGCGCGCCCAGGCCAACAGCGCGAGTCGATATCATGGTGGAGGGAGAAGGAGAACAGGTGTAACCGGTCACATGTGACATTTCACGCGACAACTGGACCAACATTCCGTTGAGGGAGTAATTATAGGATTAGTGGTTCGTGATAGTACGTTCATGGGATTCAAAAATGAATACAAATTCAAACGCATGCTGAGGGGGGTAGCCAAAATCAAGCAACTTAGAATCAGAGAAGAAATGTACTAAAAATACTGCGAACATACATTCCGGATCGGGGAATCGAACCCCGGGCTGCCGCGATTGTCACGTGCTGCTTGCACAGCCACGAATGAGAGGCGGCAATGTTAACCCCTACACCAATCCGGAGTTATTATCTGAGTAGCTAATAATGCTATATGGTAAAAAAGTACTAAGTCCACGCGAAATTCGGACTTGGTCAAAATTCGAGGTTTTTGAGCTTTTTAGACGTCCAAGGTAATGTTGATGCGAGTATTGAAGATGTGACCGTCTCGGAAAGCTCCTGAGCTCCAGTCTTGGAAGTATCTGTGACATCCTGAGTTCTATTCTTTACTGGAGCGGTAGAACAAAGTGCAGTTTCGCTGCAATTGCCCGTTCAACCCGATAACTTGAATTCACCGTCCCATCAGATTCTAGGTGGATAGCTTTTTATTTATAGATACCCATCCTCTTTAAACATATGGATGAATGCAATAATATCCCGGCAGCGCGTTGAGCGCGGCGAACGATGAAGGAAGTAAACCGGAACCTTTACACGTGACCGCGTCATCTTCCATTTTGCCAATGTGACATATCACACCCGTCACTCTCCTCCAGCCGGGCGCGATTGTGTGATTGAAAGTTCGGTCATTTCTCTCCTCTCCGTTGACCCACCAAAACTGAAAATGCTTCGCCGCGCAGTGGAGGATATCTCGACGGGCTCGGATTCAGACTATTCTAGGTTGGTCTTTCTCGTCGTCGTCGTTCCACACGTTCTCCTCGTGGCTCACCACATCGTTCAATAGCACAGTGAGCACCTTCGCTTCAACAGTTTTGTTGTATCTCTATGCTGAGACGGATATGTGTGCCGTCTAGTGGATCTCGTGGTTCCTCTCCTCTAAAGGCAACGAGTATTTCTGCGAAGTCGACGAAGACTTTATCCTCGACCGATTCAACCTGACGGGTCTCAACAATGAGGTAGCCAATTATGCGCAGGCGTTGGATCTTATAACGGACCAGCTAGGTACGCACTTTTTGCTCTGGCGGTTGGACGACTTGGCTCTAAAATCGTGTGAATGTGTGTGAATTGCAGACGATGAAGTGCAGGACGAGTTGCGGGGGTCGCTCGATGTGCAAGCGCGGCTGTTGTATGGGTTGATCCATGCTAGGTGGATAGTGACTGCGCGAGGGCTGGCAAAGATGGTGCGTAGATCTCGAATCGTTATTGGATTCGCGAGGTTACGATGCGCGGCCCCTCTGTCCTGGACGCAAGGGGAGGTCTTGCATGCGTTTGCTAGCGGAGAAATTCCCGTCCAGATATGCAAGAGAAATGCGAATCACAGTTGCAATGTTTTTGGGGGTCATTGGGAAGGCATGCAAAGAACATCTTCATCGAGGCATGTCTTTCGCGTGACCTGGGGATAACTGTGACTCTCTTTGTATTCCTTCTTGAGAAGCCATTGTAAATGTCTCTCGGATTTCTTCTGGATATCTTGCGTTCAGCTACCTGCTTATCCTCCTGTGCTTATACCAACTCGTCGCTCTTGATTCTCTCGCACTAGTCGCTAACACTTACCCAGGTCGAGAAATACAAACGCGGCGATTTCGGCCGCTGCCCCCGCGTCCTCTGTCAATCTCAATCCCTCCTCCCCGTGGGCCTCATCGACATCCCCTACGAAAAATCCGTCAAACTCTACTGCGGCCGCTGCGAAGACCTCTACTCCCCCAAATCCTCCCGCCACGGCTCCATCGACGGCGCGTACTTCGGCACCACCTTCCCCCACCTCCTCTTCCTCGTCTACCCCACGCTCATCCCCCCTAAGACGGGTCCGCCGCTCGACGGGCCTTCGTCTGCGAATAACAACAGCAATGCTAATAGTAGTGAGGGTGGGAGTAAGGTGCGGCAGCGGAGGGGGAGGGGCGAGGAGCTGTTGCCGGATGCTACGGGGACGGAGGGCGTTGGGGAGGGGATCAGTACGGCGAGTGTCGCGTTGAAGGCGGAGAGGTATAGGCCACGGATTTATGGGTTCCAGCTGCATGAGACAGCGAAGCTCCAGCGGTGGCAGGAGGCAACGCGGGATCGGTTAGTTTGTCTCTCCGCTTTCTTGCATTCCATGCTGACTGGAATATGATAGACAGGTGGCGAAGCTGGAAGATCTGGAGGCGCGGGCGTCGTGATACCGATTCCTATTTTAGATTGGTAGGTTTGTTTTGCGCGTTATGTGTGTCTGTGTGTCCATCCGTACCCTGTATTTACTCGTTTTCTTCACTGCTATGATAATGGACGTTCAATTTCTTGATTGCCTTGAGCCAAACGAGACATTCTCCACCTTCTTCAACATAGAACTGATACAGCCGATGAGGAACGGCGTACCGACACGGGGAAACGGACAATCTTTATCATTTGCTCCAAAGCCCAGATCGCCGCTCGCAGGCAGCTCTAGAGTTATGGGGGGAAAACTCAATTACTTTAATTGGATTGAAAGGACCGACTGGTATACAAGGCATCGAGGATTAATGTTGTCATAAAAAGCTCTAGTTTGTCAAGGCTGCTTTCAGGAGGATCCCAGGATCTGCATTCCCGCACAGTCGGGCGACGGGCGATGTGAGGCGGTGATCATGCCGAGCTGTGCAGCGCCAAGATTTGTACCGCTTCCCTCACGTCCGACGGTCCAGTTACATATATAATCGGAAAACCATGGAACCCCGTACTTTTCCTCCTCACTTTCACCCCCTTCAACCCTTTCAAACCCTTTCTCCACTCTCCTTCACTTCGTTCAGAGTGTTATGGGCTGCGACAAAATCCTCGGCGTAGCTTCCATCGCCGCCGCCTCCGTCCTCCTCGCTCTCGTCGCCTTTGACGTGCCCTACTTCAAATCCATCTACTTTCTCCGCATTGACCTCGCCGGCGCTGCTGCGTCTACGGCTTCTTCCAACCAGACCACCCCGTTCGTTGATCTGGGTGTACTAGGCTATTGCACAGACCTCAAGAATGGTTTGGGTCTGCAATGCTCGCCTGCGAAGATTGGGTATGACCTTGGCGGTTTGTTTCTCGCTTTTGTTGGTTGGCACACGAAACGACACTAATACTGTTTTTTTTCTTTGAAACTGTAGAGGCATCTAAATACATCAACGGCTCCCTCCCCGCTGTCCTCACCAACAGCGTCAACGTCGCCGCCGCCGCCCTGACAAAGGCCCTCGTACTGCACATCGTCGCCCTCGTCGTCTCCCTCATCGCCTTCGTCTTCGCTCTCCTTGCCCTCCTCGGCATCCCCTTCATAGCCGAATGCTGCGCCGACTGCTTCTCCGGCTTCGCCGGCGCCACAGGGCTCACCGTATTCATCTTCGATCTCGCGTTCTTCTTCATCATCAAGAAGAGGGTGAACGCTGAGAGCGGGGTGAATAGCGCGGTCATGGGGAACGCGATTTGGCTGACGGTGGTGGCGATGTTGTTGCTGTTTGTGACGCCGATTATGTTCTTGCTTGGGAGGTGTTGTGGGTGTGCGACGAAGGTGGCGTATAAGCCGTTGAAGAGTTGAGCAGGTGGTGATAATTTGTGTTTTGTTGTTGCTGCCGATGAACTTTTGTAGCCTGAGTACTATATCTTTATTTGAAGTGCCAAATCGGAGAGATGTGTGCCTTATATTGCTGGCGCCAGCTGCAGATGGGGCGGCGAGAGGGGGAATACCTCGTCTTGGTCGCCACTTCGGAGAACATGCTACGGTGACCCTCCGAGGAGAGGGTAAAACAAGATGGCGCGACTCGACTCAAGGGCCGAACGTCGTTTTTCCACCTCCTCCAAGCAAACTGCCTTGAGCCAGTTGATTTTGAGATGGATCGAAGGGTCGAGTCTTGACGCGAATCATGAGGAATACCCAGCTTTCAGGGTCAACTTGGGGTGTTTGCACAATCTTCAAGAAAATGCGACCATTGAGAAAGGCCCTGCGCTTTGAATTTGAGTTTCTGTGTTTGGCTCGAAAACAGACGCAGCCGCATAAGCACAGTTGTTGTATAAACCGTTCTCCGAAGCAGAACGAATGCCTCTCAATATCACCGAGCGCTGAAGACCTCCAAAGGTACGAGAAGAGCTCGAACTTGAAAGAGCGGCTACAAAGTCAAGGCGAAGAGGTCCGTGCGTCCAGAGGAACGTCGTATGACAGTTGACGGTGTTGCAGTTACTTATACCGGGGTGCAAATCATTCGGGATGAAGATAAAACTTCATATGAGTGCAATCTGCCGTGAGTTCAACGTGAGTTTGTTGATTTAAATTTTAATGATTATGTGGTTTGGCGACTCGTGTGACTGTCGTCATTTGCTGCTCCTCCTACAAAGCATTGCCTGCTTGCTCAGAGTCGGGCAGATTTGAAGGCAGTTAGAGTATAATCCACCTACAAAGAATGCAACTCGAGAACGATACGAGCAAGAATGTCTGTTCTGACCTTTCGAATCTTGTGCTGGTTGGACCGCAGACACAGTATCTACAGTCCGAGATATGAACGGCAATTTGTAGCAGCAGTACTGTAAAGGAAGGTCAGACCCATGAAAGCGCGAAGTCGATGTCCTGGCATCTGTGCCCCGTCTTCTCCATCTACTCAACTAGAATTTGAGAGCATCAACACAAATGAGAATCCCTCGCAGCTCCCTCGAATGTTGGTAATAAAGCGACTTGGATTATACGGGTTACAATGCGAATTACAGGGAGGATCTAGGGTAGCGCGCGGATTTAGTGAGAACAGTACAGTACAATGACACGGACGATAACATAGTGACCAACGATAATCAAGGTATGAGGGAGAGACAGACAGACCACCATCGAGTACCAGGAGGACATCAGATTCACTGACATATCCGACATCCATCACCGCCCCGCAACCTCGTCACCATCCGCGAGCATCTCGCGCACAAGGAGGTCCGCCTTGCGCGTCTGGAGCAGCGTCTTCAAGCGAAGGGCCAGCTCGGGCTTCGTACCCGCAGCAACGATGGAGGAGTTCTGCACGGCATGAGCTGCGAGGTTGCGCTTGAGAGCGGCGGCGGAGAGTTCGGCGACAATGTCGGGGTTGTCGATGAGCGGAGGCTTGGGGTCGACGAGGTAGTGGGACTCGAGGTCTACAACACAGTCAGAGGTGGATGACGATATGCAGAAAGAGGA